GCGAGTACACATCATGGTTATACTAATTGCACGTAAACGTCTACCATATTGCACAATACCGAACGAGATCAAATGGACATAAATTCGGTAGGAAATTTTATATATTGTTTCAATTGTTATTAATATTTTTTTATACATCAAGTATTTTGGTACGATATATATTTTTTATTTAAATAACTAAAATAAAAACTAAATTACATTAAAAATATTATTTACATATTTTTCGCATAAAAATATTAAGATACGATTTTTCTATTGTATAAAAAATTAATATAGTGCATTTTATGTATTATTGTGTATGTATTAAATTTTTACTATATTATCAATTATATTATCAATTTGCCTAATTTTACTCAATTGAAAAAAAAATAGTTATTTCAATTTGATTTAGTTTTTTTAATAATCAACCGACCAACGTACATAATTTTTTTTATATATTTATATTATAACATTTCTTTTATAATATTAAAATAAAAATAATAAAATACTAAATATATTTTATGATATAATTTATAAATTGTTTTGTTCGTTTATATTAATTTGGTTAATCGAACTAATAAAACAATTATTTCTGTTGTGTTTTAATTTGTTTTGGACATGTAACTAAAAAATAATGCAATGCGATTGCACATTACTGTATTACGAGTTGCACATTGATGATTATAAGATTGCACAAGATTCGACAAAACTCGAACAAACTAAAATTTAAAAACTTATCGTGCGTTATCACATGATTTTGTTCATTTTATATATTATTAATGTGATGTGTTTGACTTTTGATAAATTACAAAACTGCCATGAGTACTAAAATACAATATACTAAAGTTTGTGAAATTGCTTAAAGACCCTTGTAGCTTATCTAATTCTCTAAAACAAGTCCCTATCCCTAACAAGCTTCATCCTCCCGTCACTGTGACTGCAGCTCAGCGTCGGACCTCTCCCGTCGATCTAGAGGCTCTCGCCGTGAAGGCCATGGTGTCAGTCGACCGCCGGCTCTCCTCCGACTGGTTCTCCAGCGAGAATGGCAACCTCGATTTCTGTTTTTCTCGGCGGAGATACGCAGCACTCAAGCGGCGGCTACGTCGATGGCCATGAGCAGCAACATATGGCTCGAATATTTCTCCGGTTGATTCTCGCCCGATTTTTAAGTCACCACTTTGGTCGGCGAGTCTCCGACGAGATGGCGGGACGGGTCATGTTGCAGATGGTGGGAAGCTTGTCTCAGTGGGAGACGGGGTGGCGGACGGCTGACGGTGGCCATGAACAATGGGCTGCAGACTGTGAATCGCCGGATTTTGAAAAACTCCACCTTGGCAGAGTCGTCGACTGTGGAGGGGGCTGGTAAGCTTGCGTTTTGAGGAGTGACATCTACGTACGGTGGCGCGACGGCGGTGGCTAGAGGTGGTAGACGATGGCGCGTGTGGTGGCCAGCCGATGACTGGTTAAACGGGTGAGAGTGTGTGTTTTAGTGAGTGAACTGTGTGTGAGAGAAAGAATTAATGTGAATATATGATTATGGTGAGTAGGTTGGGGGAGAGGGAGAGAACGTGATTTATAGTGGGTCCCACTATTAAGTGAGAATTTAATTAATTACCTATTTATCCTTAATAAGTGGTCAAATACAATATATTTGACCACAAAATGTCCACTTATTTACTCTATTGCCATCTCATGTTTGACTGCATTATTAATGTTTGACTTGATCATAGTCATTGATTTTATGGATCCAATGGTC